TATCCTAAGCCTAACTTTGATGCTATTGAATATGAGGAGGAAAACTTCTGCAGTTTCTTTTATAAAAAGAGCCTAACTTACACCACCTTTTTGCGTTTTCTGGGACACGTCATCAGTCAGATTTGCCTGCAATACTAGAAAGAAAGAAATATTGATTGGGATATTCCCCAACAATCATTCTAGAGGCAAACTAACCAACAATCATTCAAGGGGTTCACAGCCAGCTGCTCATCTTAAATTACAAGAATTACTAAAATCCAGAATATTAATATATAAAAAAGAAGAAGATTATCTTACTAAAATCCAGCACCTTTCCTTTGCCCTTTTTGTGTGTGATCCAAAGCATCAAACTTTTGTGCTAATATAATTGCGGAATGGCTAAAGGCTTGCAAAAGTAAGACTAAGACTATACCATACATATTGTCTCACTCACCCAACTCCAAACAGAGCAGACATCATCTGAGATTCTGGATCAAATATGAAACCAAAAGCATGCAACAATCTGCCCAGCCCACCAAAGTGGACAGTGGAGGCTACAATTCAACAAAAAAGACCATCCACATTTTGACTCATCATCATCATCATAAAAGTGAATTGAGACCTCTCTCTCTCTCTCTCTCTCTCTCTCTCTCTCTCTCTCTCTCTCTGTGTGTTCTAGTTTTCCTGATTTCATTCTTGAATATTGTAGATACGGCCTTACATCACCGATTCAATTCAACACTCTTTCTTTTTATTCATGCACCACAACAGGGCTATCCACACACAAGGAAATAATAAACTCAAAATCCAAATGTAAATATTCAAGGAATTGCATTTCCTTCTGTGAAGGGATCTGTTGGTTGCTTTACCATAAATGAATGTCTCATCCACTTGGGATAAGGAAAGGATAAACCGTACGGTACAGTTACAATGTAAAATCAACCAAAATGGAAAATTTATGGCTAGATCTTTAAAAAAATCCAGGTTAAGGTAAGAATTAGATATGTCGACCATTATAATAAGTTATAACATTGCAACAAAAAAAGGGGAGCTATTCACTCTTCCCCACATTACTTCCGCACTCCAGTGACCACATGACATGAGTATGACTTTACAAGGCAGTGAATATCGCTCCCGAAACAAAAAAAGAAAACAAAAGGACAGTAAGATGTAGTTTCCTCTTTCTTTGCTTACACACATAAACATAAATAAAGTTTCTTTTCTTCATTTTCTAAGCTCAACACTACGGGACATTACTTCTGTCCTATTCAGAGAGCCAAGTGGGGATTTCATTTTCATTTCAGTCAACTGGGATTTTGATATAAAAAACCCGAACCAAACCCAAGTGAGGCAGGCTCATCATATCCATTCATTTCATTTCACAAGGTTGAAAACGTTGTTTCTGTGTGTTGTACCATCAGATCAGAATCTCAGAGAAATTGGTGAAGTTTCAGAAGCAGCTCCTCTCTGTTTGGAAATGGCAGGTGGGTCTTTTGCTCCAGCCGGCGTGGCCAAGGAGAGAGCAGAGCAGTACCAAGGCAAGCTCACCGCTTATGTTATCGTTGCCTGCATTGTTGCTGCCGTTGGCGGCTCACTTTTCGGTTATGATATCGGAATTTCAGGTAACCTTTTCATTTCCTCACCGCACCCACCCACCTGCAATCTCTTTTCTTTAGATTCTGGGCTTTTTTTGGCTTTGATGAGGTAATCAACCAAGACGTACAGGTATAGAATGATGACACGAAAGCAAAGTTAATGTTGAAAAGTTCTGCTTTTATACCAGGTATTATAAATTCTGCATATCTGGCTGGCTAAAAAAGAGAAGGGAGAAAAATATGCATCACTTTTCCCTGGTTAAGAAATCTGGTTGAGAAACAGAGAAATACAAGTTTAACATGCAACAAATGGTGATGAGATTAATTATCATTGAAACCAGAAACAACAGAATAGAAACTGAATTATATATGTAGAACATGCAGTGTTTCCAGAGGCTGCTCCACCGAGATCTAGATTGCAATTCCTGATTTCTGCTACTTTTTGCTCTAATATAATATAAGAATTTACAAAGTATGAAAAAGGTCATGGTTAGTCTATCAGCAGATTGATTCATGTGAATTTACTCTACTTTTTGATGGTCATGAATGAATCAATCAGCAGAAAATGAAGCTATCACAAAGTATTGGAACTTTAGCATTAATTTGTAACTGAATGCGTGTGAAATATTGAGGGGATAGTCTTACTGAAGATTTCATTTAAAATGTTGGTTAACAATCAATAGGTGGGGTTACCTCAATGGATGGATTTCTTCATAAATTCTTCAAAACGGTGTACAAACAAAAAATGCTTGCACATGAAAACAACTACTGCAAGTACGACAACCAAGGTCTTGCAGCATTCACCTCTTCTCTGTACCTCGCCGGTTTAGTTGCATCTTTGGTGGCTTCTCCAGTTACAAGAAACTATGGACGGCGCAGAAGTATAATCTGTGGTGGAATCAGTTTCCTTGTTGGAGCAACTCTAAATGCTGCAGCTGCCAATTTGGCCATGCTTCTCTTGGGTCGGATCATGCTTGGTGTTGGTATCGGATTTGGAAATCAGGTATCACACTTCGCTTACCCTTAATCACTACCGAATGTAAATTTGTTTTCCTTTAAGGCCTACCACATGAGCCAAATGACAGGGTGAGAAGCACGAATGTGAGAATATTAATTAAGGACTCAAAGGTATCTAATTTACAGAAGAGACAATGACTTCTTTCTGGCAACAATTTATTGACCATAGACTGTAGATGAATCAGAATATAACCAACTGTATGGTTAAGCACCCTCAATGTTAAAATAAAACTGATTTTTTCTGCCTCCTTCTTGTGTCTTAAAAGGCTATTCCACTATATCTATCAGAGATGGCGCCGACTCATCTTCGAGGAGGCTTAAACATGATGTTTCAGTTGGCAACTACGCTAGGAATCTTCATAGCGAACATGGTAAACTACGGAACACAAAAGCTCGAACCATGGGGTTGGAGGCTCTCTCTAGGCCTGGCTATAGTACCTGCTATAGTAATGACAGTGGGAGGAATATTTCTTCCTGAGACACCAAATAGCTTAATTGAACGAGGAAGTAAAGAAGAAGGACGAAAACTTCTGGAGAGAATCAGAGGAACTGAAAATGTCAGTGCAGAGTTTCAGGACATGTTAGATGCAAGTGAGTTTGCTAGTGCAATAAAGCACCCTTTCAGAAACATCCTGGAGAGAAGGAACAGGCCTCAACTGGTTATGGCAATCTTCATGCCAACATTCCAGATCCTCACAGGCATAAATTCAATCCTCTTCTATGCTCCAGTGTTGTTTCAAAGTATGGGGTTTGGGGGAAATGCTGCTCTCTACTCCTCTGCTTTAACTGGAGCAGTTCTTGTTTCATCTACACTGGTATCTATTGCAATAGTTGACAAGCTCGGTCGAAGAGTTTTGCTCATTAGTGGTGGAATAATAATGATTATATGCCAGGTAAAATTGATCTCTCTTCATAAACACTAACAACTGATTAAAATTCCTTCTTTCCTTTGGATTTCTAGAAGGCTTCCTAAACACTTAATATTCTCTCCTCTTGAATGTGAAACAGGTCATAGTCGCCATAATCTTGGGGGTCAAGTTAGGTGAGAATCAAGAGCTATCAAAAGGATTCTCAGTATTGGTGGTGGCAGTGATCTGCCTCTTCGTGGTAGCTTTCGGATGGTCATGGGGTCCGCTCGGCTGGACAGTGCCAAGCGAGATATTCCCACTGGAAACCCGATCAGCCGGACAAAGCGTTACAGTGGCTGTGAACCTTCTGTTCACCTTCATCATAGCACAGTCTTTTCTTGCCCTCCTATGTGCGTTAAAATTCGGGATCTTTCTCTTCTTTGCTGGGTGGATTACTGTGATGACGGTGTTTGTTTACGTGTTCCTGCCTGAAACCAAAGGAATTCCTATTGAAGAGATGATACTGATGTGGAGAAAGCACTGGTTCTGGAAGAGGATAGTGCCTGAATATCCTGAAGTTGATAGCTCTATTAGTCCTAGGCCAAACAACTCAACAGTGTGACATGTTTTAGAGTGTAGCGGATGTAAATGAAGCAAGCACATGACCACCCTTACAATTAAGTCAGCAGCAGTATCAAATCAATATCTATGCCTTTATTTATATGATCTCAGGATTCTCAGCCCCAGATCAATCTCTTGTGTTGACTGCAGCATGCAAGCAAGAAAGCAACCCTTCAAAAATAAAAACGTCCATTTCTTATTTGATCACAGGATTGAGCCTTGTGCCTTGCAGTGCTGCTGTCTTCTTGTGTGAGCCTGAGGTTTTCGTTTTAACAGATTCTTTTATTTACCAACAAGAAATGAAACTGCAGCAGCCTTGTTGTAGTGGCAGGGCACCTATATTATTCCCAAAACCAATTCTAACAAGAAAAACTTCGAATCCCATTTCCCACCATCAGCACCAGAGGCTTGGCATCAACAACAACAAAGATAAGCATTCAAACCAACGGCGGGAGAGAGAACTTGCAAAACATGACAAAATGATTGCCAGCAACATTAAGCAGTACAAATCTAAGATTTTATTCCAACACACATTATCTTGTTCTTGATGAGTTATGAGTACACACTACTAACATTATAGTGGGAATAGAAGACGAAACAGACGCAGACTCCAATTACATCATTTTAACTTCTACGAGCCCATAAACTCACACACATTTACTCCTACTTGAGGATATACAAAGCAAGACTCAAACTTCCTACTACTTACTCCTTTTCTTCTTCTTCTTTCATATTAAGAAACTTAGCAACACACTATCATTTGCTAGCACTCAATATAACTTTCCTCTTGAAAAAATAAAGGAAGCAATTGAGACAAACCGAACAATTTTCAACTATCTCTCGTATTCATCATCTATCAATCGATTCAAGCACCCCTACTGCCAGATTGCCAAGCCAGACCCTTTCCCCTGCTTTCCAGCCATCGAATGCCGCCGAGTGGTCACACCGAATCGAGTCGCAGCAACCGACGCAGATCGCTCGTCGCCGTGCCGTTCCTTCCCAAAAAAGCAGGCAAAGGCACTGAGCTCGGAGGTGGAGACGCGTAGAAGGCGCTCGATCCAGCGTAAATCGCATCCATGACCTTGAATTCTGCAACCTTAATCTGCTTCTGCACGGTCTCCGGGTCGGGGCCCAAACGGTCCGTCGATCCCAGTACCAAATCTGGAACATCTTCGATCTTTGCCCTCGGCTTGCCAGCATCGCCGGAAACAACTCCGAGTCCTCGGTTGTTCTTCTCCGGGCTCAAGGCCTCCCCGCGCCTCAGGATCTTGACCTGGCCCATCACCAGGTTTTTGGCCGGGACCTTCGCAACCATGGCGCGATCAGAGTACCGATCTCGAGCGCGATCATGTTGATTGGATTGGAATCCCATCGGACTTCTCTTCCGGCGGCGAGATTGATGAAGATTAGCGTTAGAGCCATAGTTGGGGCTGGGATTAGGGTTCGGGTTAGAAAAATTAGGGCTTCGGCGTGATCCGGAGCGAGGGGTTAGGGTTAGGGCTTCGTGGCGAAACCGCCCTCGAAGGCAATCCTGGGAGCGAAGAAACGCCGTCCCCATTTTCCCTGAGGAGAAGAGAGAGAATAGAGAATGAAAATGAAAAAAGAAAATAATATACTTCTGACGCTCCTGTTTTGCTTTCTGGAAATTTGTTTTAGTAGAAGGAATGCCTATATTTTGCATACCATGTGTGTGTGTGTGTATTTATAGAGAGGTTTCGATAATTCACGTGACGTGGCGTGAGGTTTGGAACCGTCTAAGGCGCGTGAGTAGGCTAGGCTTTACCCGCTTGGTGAAATTTGACCAACTTGGTTTTGCAGTTTTACCATTATTCAATTACCACGTTGCACTTTCTCTTTTTAAAATTACGATGGTAACCTTTTGTAAATTTGGTACGATAGATGGGAAAATGATATGTATGGCAAGGACCTTAGATGCCGAGAAAGGGACCGACAAACCACGTGTCTTCAAGTGAATGGCTGTAGCGCTTGTTCTTATCAACACGTGTTGCCTTTGTCAACAGACTTTCGTTGGGCTGTTTGGGCCTTCTCTTTTTTCAATTGTTTTGACGGTTTGAGTCTGAAACCGCCTGGTTTGAGGTCCGGCCTACGAACGGATCGATTTGAACCCCGAACGAGGCTGAGGCAGGCCTTTTGGTGTACACGTGCCAACCACGTGCTCTTCTGCTATTATACATCCACAACCTCTTCAACGGGTGAGGTTAGGCCTGGTGAGATCGTTGATCCATCAATAAATTGGATCGGGCTGGCCTTAGGTGAAAATGTTTGGGGAACGTGGCCCATTTTCATCCGTTTGTTCATAATTTACGGCCCAGATTTAGAGATCACAGAGAATGATATTAACTCCATTTTTATCGGCCTGTTCGCCTTCGCCTTCTCCTCCGTCTGGGCGGGCGCTCTTTGAAGCTTTCTCAGTCCCCTAAGAAAGACTACAAGGTACTGAGCTCCTTCCCCGCGCCTTTCCCCTTGGATTTTAACTTTTGGACGCAATTGACTCATTCTTGGATTTTAATTTTCCAATTCTTGGTTCATTTTCTGTTTGCTTTATCAGCCATGATATAAATTAGTTTTATTTTCCCTGTAACTTCGTCTGAGTCTAATTAGGGCTGTTATTTTGGGGATTTAGGGTTGTCATGTTTTGGGATTTGTTGACGTTGGGTATGGGTTGTGGTGGTTGTGATTATGTATATGCTAATTTGTTTACATTAGTCCTTTTTATTTATATTTTCAAGGGGTTGCTGAAAATATTCAACTTTCATCTTTATTTGGTGCCTAAGGGACCAGTGAGTGTTCGAAAAGGCGGCGCCTAGGCTCCTAGGCGGCCTAGGCGGGCTCTAGGCGGGAGTACACCGCCTATGCGGACTCTAGGCGGGAGGGCACCGCCTATGCGGCTCTAGGCGGGACTACACCCCCTATGTGGACTCTAGGCGGGAGGACACCGCCTAGGCGGGCGCTAGGCGGTCTAGGCGGGTCGGGTTCTTTTTTTTTAAAAAAAAAAATTTCCTGACTTTAAAGAAAACCCGCACGCTGCCTCTCTCTCCTCTGAGCCGTCTCCCTCCCTCTCTCTCTCTCTCTCTCTCTCTCTCACGAAATCGGACCACCACCAGGCCGCGACCCGCTCGGAGGGATATGGAGAGGAGGAAGAGTTAAGACTTAGAGGCCTTTCATTTCAAGTATTATGCTTAACTTTTTCGTTTTTCCCCATGTTTTATATCAATTATGGTACTTTATAATTTATATATCCTTTTATTTTGCATGATTTTGGTATTAATTTATAATTCAAAATAATTATGATTTTGGTTAATAAACTTCAATTTTAACTGTGAATATAATTTATAAATTATACAACATTGTTGGAAGTTCATTTTTTCATTGATTTAGGGTTTATAATTTGTTGGCCTTGGATTTCTGTTAATGGTATTTGTGTATATGCGTACAGTTTTAAAAAGCCAGTTGAGCTGCACAAAAGGAAAAGAGAAAGAAATGCCTCTGTATGATTGTATGCTTCTGGTGAAACCCCATGTAAGGAAGGAGGCTCTGATGGACTTGGTTGCTAGAGTAAGCAAACATGTTTACAGAAGAAATGGAGTTCTTACTGACATGAAGTCATTTGGCACTGTTCAGTTGGGCTATGGTATTAAGAAGCTTGATGGCAGATATTATCAGGTGGGTTTGTTTTTTTCTGCAACCTAGTAAGTTTTATTGAAATAGTTGTTATTGTAACTTAGATTTCAGGCCTCTTTTAGTTGTTTTGAATTGTTTCATTTTGCAATGTGAGAGCAAGCCTATTGTTTATTGCATTGCATTTGCGGATGTTTTCAAAGTGAACTTGTTAGATGCTATTTTGCTATAACTTTAGGGTCACGATGATGCCACTGAAGCTTCCTGCTGATATACATAATTAATTTGTATTTCATACCTAGAAATTAGAAAGGACAATGTATCGCAAAATCATGGATGATACTTTCATAGGATTCTGTCCTTTTTCTATCTCCGTAGGTTGTCTAGTTGTTATTTCTTTCTGAATACAAAAAAATTCTTATCTCATTTTGACCAGATAAAATTTTATTATAAATCAATTTGGTATATGGTATAGGGTCAACTAATGCAAATGACGATGATGGCTACACCTAACATCAACAAGGAGCTGCATTACTTGAACAAGGAAGATAGATTGCTGCGCTGGCTTTTGGTTAAACACCGAGACACGAAGTATGGACTGGAATTTCATAGTGAAGAGGATGCAAATAGTGAAGTCAATAGGCTTCATCGGAACAGCATATATGATGATGATGAGGATGAGGACGTGGATGAGGATGAGGATGATGACGATGATGAATATGATGTGGACCAAGGAGGAAATCCAACTGAAGGGTAATGTAATTCTGTCAGGGATGGTTCGTTGGCATTTTGTTGAAATTCCGGATTTATGTTTGTCATAAGGTTTGGTAGCAGTAAGTTCTATGAACTATGTTGGGTGAGAATTGGCTTATCAATGTATTAAATGTTGTGAGCTTTTAGTTTTGATATGGTTGGTGCACCTAAAGTTCTTGTTTCTCAATTGGCTAGTGTACGGAACCCATTGAAGATGAACTTGATCATCTGATGTTAGAGAATCTAAACGTCTTCTGAGAGTTGAAAAGAGCAATGTGGAAGTGACTCTACATTGACCTGAACGAATGAAAAGTGTTTTAGTTTGATGTTGAGTGGTCCTGGGAATTGGTTTACTTGAATTACAAGGATCCATGTTTGGAACTTCCTTGTATCTAAACTTTGCTGGATGAGGATGGATGGGCGCGCCTACAACTACAAGGCAAAAGGTCATGGAAAAATAATGAACTGTAAGAATCTCACCCGCCCGAGAGGGATGGGGCAAAGCTATATTGCACATGACTTGATCCCAATCCCTTCCCGTTTAAACCATTCAATTAGGCATCCTAACATGCCATGTATTAAAACAAAAAAGAATTAAAACCATACGAGTTATTTTTCCCATGCAGAAGCAGTAATGCCAAATTGCTACATGAAAAAACCATCTAAAGGGAAACAAAGTTAGCAACAAAATACATAATTTGTCCCTGTCGTCCTTCCAAAAGAAATATTTACTTATCATCATCATCCATTATTAGATTTAGAGGCTAGGGAAGTTCCAAATCAAAGCTCGTTGTACTTGTTTTAGAGGGTTGGTTATTAATGCACTTTTTTATTTGGAAGATTAGCTTATTTGGGTAATTAAGTTCATAATGTATTTTAATTCCGTATTTTGTTAATTACAAGGGGATACAAATATAAATACGACGCGTTTCGTTTATTAATTTACGTAGCAAGTCCGTGTACAGTGTACTGCCAAATTCTGCATGTTGACCCCCCTCCATCAATCTGAAGTGGAGCCCACAACACCAACAACGTAAACGTACGGTCCCCCCACGCCTGCTAGAAGAAACGAATTACATATAAGAAGGAAGGCCACACCGATTTTCCCGCTGGTTAATTATAAGTTGGAAAATATAGAAAGTAGAAACTCAAAGATAGCAAATACAGAATTGCAAGAAAGCAGTGGGAGAGTGATCATCATCTTCCTCCCCTCTCCCTCTCCCTCTCCCTCCCTCCATGATCTCTCTCTCTCTCTCGCTCCTCTCGGACCTCCCCCGATCGTTTCCCTGAGAGAAGGATCGATCGTACAAAGCTAAGCAGCTCCCAATTAATTAATATATAGCTTCCCCTGCCTCTGCCTCCTAGTAGGCTAGGCTAGCTTTTGACCACGATGGATGCGTTACCGTCTCCGTCGTCGTCGTCGTCGTCGCCGTCGACGTTAAAGAAGGTGGGGAGCGAACGGTCCGAGGTGAGCACGATGAGCGGATTACTGGGAGGAGGAGGAGGTGGAGGAGGAGGAGGAGGAGAAGATCAGAGAGGGTCCTCCACATTTGAATATTTTGGTTGGGTTTATCATTTGGGCGTCAACTCCATCGGCCACGAGTATTGTCACCTCCGCTTCCTCTTCATCCGCGGCAAGTATGTCGAGATGTACAAGCGTGACCCTCACGAGAATCCCGGCATTGTAAGCCTAATTCAATTCCTTCTTACTTAATTAATTACCAATTCCATTTTCTTTTTCAATTTCCTTGTTTGTAAATATTTGCTCTGTGTCGGCCAGAAACCCATTCGGAGGGGCGTTGTTGGGCCTACACTTATGCTGGAGGAGGTTGGGCGTCGAAAGGTCTACTATGGGGTAAATTTATATTTAACTTTTAAGTGATTCTATACAATGCAACCATTGAATTTATTAATTAATATGGAGCATTTTCAAGTTGCTGTGGATGCTTGTTTCTCTCTTTTTGCAGGATGTTTACGTTCTACGGTTTTTCAATCGATTGGATGAATCAAAGAAGGGAGAAGTAAGTTTTGGCGCCATATTAAATATTCATTTTTGCAGCTACTGCTAGAATGCGAATGTCATTGTTTCCAGTTTACAAGAAATGATGCGAATGAATTGTATAGAGTTACTTTTGTGAATTTTCAAATACTGAATTGGTGATCTTGGCAAGTGTTTGTACTAATAGTTTTGAGCCATTTCTCATACCCTGTGATATTCCTAGGCTTGTTGAAATGATTCTTTTTACACATTACATTTGGGTTTCCTTTCTCTTATTTGATGAGATGGTTGACAATTAATTGGTTTCTGAAGATTGCTTGTGCTACGGCTGGAGAAGCCCAAAAATGGCTGGAGGCCTTTGATCAAGCCAAGCAACAGGTACGTCAAGTTTCCTACCAAAATTCCATGTCTAACATAGAAAAAAAAAAGTATAAAATCTAGGCGGCACTTATCCTTGTAGAGAGTGTTCTTACCTTGCGAATTGAACATTTACCGTCGTCCTTGTGACAGAGCCGGTACTTTATTTTCCAAATGTTGAAAATGTAGTTCCGAATGCGATTGAGAATTGCATGTTTCCAGTTCATTGTTGTGTTTAATACACTGGAACTCTGCTTCTGATTACAGGCTGAGTTCGAGCTGACAAGAGGAGGTAGTGCCAGAAACAAACTGAACATGGAGACCGAGTACGCTTACAATTCCTGGATTGGTGATACACGTGCATAGTAATTCATATTAGCCATGTTGATTAGGACCCACGTTTTTATTGTTGGATTCCATATGATGATGGAATCTGTATGCTTGCATTCCACATTTATACCTACCACACAGGCGTATCATTAAGTCAATTAATTTGATTCTCTTCAATGTGCATATCATATTCTTTTTAAATGACCTTTTTTTCTTGCTCTTTTAATATTGAAGGCTCAATCTCGATGTCCATCGACCTAGAGTAAGGCGCTATGCAAGTGGATTGAAAAAGCTGATAAGAATTGGACAAGGTAAGGTGGTATGTAAATGGCTTATTTTTTAATGTCTACAATCAGGGTCCCAAAGTTCATTGGTCATGGGTCATTGAATTGACATATTTATTGAAATTTATGTTAGTGAAATAATTTTTTTGTTAAAGTGACGAAGTTAGCATATTTGCGACACTTACCACTATACAATCTGGTTTAAAAATAGTCTTTTTGGGTGCTTGGTTATATCGGTTGCTTATGTTCTTACATAAGTTCTTTTACATGTTTATTAAACGCATAATCATAAGCATCCATTTTTGTCTTCAAATTTGAGAGTTGAGACATATAATACTAGTTCTCTATTAATTAAAAAAAAAATATCTTTGTATTACAGGACCAGAGACGCTTTTGTGCCAGTCCTCAAGCTTGGGTGCAAATGGTAGTACAGATGGATACTTCGAAAGAGATATTAATGATGCAATTGAAGCTTATGAGTGGAAATGCGTGCGAACAATTAATGGTATTCTTCTCTTACTATTCACTTGATAGACATCAGCAGGCAAAGAATAGTTATCTCTTTCTCTTACTGAATTTTTAGGACTGCATTTTGGTGATTTCAGTGAACCATGCAATCTTCTGATTTATTTTCTTCATGCGTGTGTTGTTTTTGGTTTCAGGTGTTAGAATATTTGAAGATGTTGCTAACTCTGAGGTATCTCGTTGTAGATAGATACATGCATTTTTCTGTATGTGTGTGTGAGCATCTGTGTGTTTGTTTGTACGCGCGTGTAAGAGAATGCATCACATTCTCAGCATCATCTCATGCTTTATTAATTCCACTGTTGGTAGAGTGGTAAAGGTGTTATTGTCAAGGCTGTTGCTGTCATCGATGCAAGTGCAGATACTGCTTTCGAAGTGCTTTTAAACCTTGAGCGACATCAGAGATATGAGTAAGTTGTCTTAACATAATAAATATATCACTATACAAATTTTCTCTGTCTAATAATTTTCTTTTCAGGTGGGATATGCTGACAGGTGACTTGGAGTTGTTAGATTCTTATGATGGGCACCTGGATGTTGTCTATGGGACATTTGATCCTAGGTATCTTACTCGGTAATGATGTTAGACGTGACTACCTCTCTTTAATCTTTGAGAAAATACCTTCATCTTAATTTTACTGATCAAGCCCTTATTTAATGTTTTATATATAGTGGAAATTTTGCAATGCATTAGTTAATAGAACATGGCTTCTTAACATAATAAAGTCAGTCTGCATTCTGTTTATTGTTTCATCATCGTGAGGTTTTCATTTGTTACTCAACATGTTATACAGGTGGCATTCGAAAAGAGATTTTATCTTTTCTAGGCAATGGTTTTGCGGACAAGACGGAACATATAGTAAGACTATATAAATTTCAGCATTATCAATCTGAGTATAATTTCACTTTGTGAAGTAGGGAGTAGAGCTTAACTATCGCTTGCTTCATTTTTGTCCTCAAGAAAACATGGCTTTTGCCTTCCTATTTTGCTGATATCTTTTGTTAATCTTAATGCAGCAATCTTGCATTTCCCAGCTGTTCATAAGAAGAAGCCTCCAATATCTGGATATCGTCGTACAAAAATAAATCGTAAGAGATTTTATCTGCTTTACAGAAGAAATTGATAATTAGTGAAGCTTGATATCAAAGATTTGTACCACTTGCTGTGGTTTTATAAAACCCTTGCAAATTTTAGGATGAATTGACTGGCTTGCTAGCACAGATTTGTAGCACTTGATAACATTTGTTTTCCCAAATCTGATGATGCTTGTTTTTTTTTTTGTTCTCGTCAATGAAGCTCAATTTCTGCTATCAGAAAGTCTCTGTTTCTTCATTAAGTTGGTGTTCTTTTTATGTTTTTAATTTGTATCGCAGCATCTACTTGGGAGATTAGAAATTTGAACACATCCATGGGTTCAAATACTCCAAGATGTCTTGTCACTCAAATGTTAGAGATAAATTCTGCGGGCTGGTGCAGATGGAAGAAAAATCACTGCTCAAAGTTTGAAAAGAGTGTACCTTATGCATTATTGTGCCAAGTGGGAGGTTGGGACATTAATTATCTATATTTTTCTGTTTTGTTTTGAATTTATGATCCGAGTGTTCTATGCTATAAAAAAAACCCTTGATGTGAGAACTGTAACTCAACCTACCTACCCTTAAACTGGTTTCCAAAACCATATAACATGAGATATCTCAAGTATTTCGTAAAATGTTTATTGTAAAGGCAGTTATGTTTCTTTTGTTTTTGTAATCGTTCAGGTCTTAAGGAATATATTGGAGCAAATCCTGCACTCAAATTTGAATCTTCTACTACAGTTATCCAATCAAAACTATCTGAAGTTTCCGTTTCCAATGCTGAATTTGAGGAGTCAGAAGTCAAGGATGAGTTTTATGATGCAATGTCTGCGGACTCTTCATCTTCTGACGAAGAACTTGACAACAAGGTTTTCCTTTTCTGGTTTTCTTCATCTTGGAATGGAACACTATTCGTGGTCCAATTTATTGCATCTCACATTTGTATTGAGATATTATTTGAATTCCAGATATTAATAGCCACCCTCTATACTTTGCAGGATTCAAAATTGAACTTGGCCTTGAAGCGAACCTCAGGTTTGCTCACTTCTAAGTACTTTTAATTGTGCATTGATCTATTATGCTACCCTAAATTATTATCATCAGTTTCAAGAGTGAAGCTATCTTATGTAGCCTTCCTGCGTACTAGAATGGTGTCCCTTCTTTTTGCTTTCTTTTTTATAAATTTTTTTACTTATTTAAGAACCAAAAGACATGAATACATTCAAAGACTGGTTTGTCATTATTGTTTACCCTTTTTAAAAAATTATCAGTGCTCAAGTATAGGTCATTCTGGATACAGCTGCAGATGCTAATAAGGAACTGGATTCTGAAGTGGCTCCTGTCATGATTGATCCAAGCCAATGCCATGGTTCATTGCGCAATGGGAAGGATGAGGGTGACACAAATTGTTGGACATGTCCAAGCGGTACGGGATTTATGATCAGGGGAAAGAACTACCTTAAGGACAATTCCAAGGTGGGCTGTACTCTGCCTTGAACTAATTTGACTGAGAACTTGCACTGTTTTTGTACATTCGATCAGTATATGGATTTTGGTTTAGTTTCCCTTTTTTTTCCTTGGAACATTCAGCACAAAATTCGATGACTTCCGGTCATCTTCTTATGCTCATTGCTGACTCACTCTTTCCAGGTAATGGGAGGAGATCCCCTTCTCAAGCTCATAGCAGTAGATTGGTTCAAAGTTGATAAAAGCTTAGATAGGATTGCACTCCATCCACGGAGTCCTCTTCAGGTAGAGTTAGTTTTTCATGTTCGAATTGCTTTTATATTGATAAAGTAACTTGTTAATTTGAAAGTTCATTTCTGATTTCTGTCTAAGCATACCCTTCTTGATTTCAGTCACAGGCTGGAAAGAAGCTTCCATTTGTACTTGTCATTAATCTCCAGGTATGTATATGAATTCCTCCCAAACCATTCCCTTGCTAGGAAATGGGATGACTGTTTGTCATTTACAGAAGTGCAGACAACAAGTAGTCCCAATCTTGTCTCATATTTGATATATGTCTGATACTTGACCAATAATGCTAGGTTTAGAAGATAATGAGAGATATACGTTGAACTATGTTGATAAGTGAACTGCCCACATACTATCTTTATGATATGTCGTTTTTCTGTTTCAGGTTCCCGCAAAACCAAACTATAGTTTGGCACTTTACTATGCTTCTGACAGACCTGCAAAGCCAGGTTCTTTGTTTGCTCAATTTGTGGATGGGAGTGACATGTTTCGTGATGCACGATTTAAGTTAATTCCTAGTATCGTTGAGGTATGTTATGCTTTAACTCTAAAGTATGCATAGGCGCGTGGGTGTTCTACGTTTGATGGAAAAGAGTAGCTAATGGTTGTCTACTGTTACAGGGATATTGGATGGTCAAGCGTGCTGTTGGAACAAAAGCTTGCCTATTGGGGAAAGCTGTGACTTGCAAATATTTCAGACAAGACAACTTTCTAGAGGTAATTTTATCATATTATTGTGCAGTTCCCTCTATTTGAGGATCCTGATGTGTTCCTCAACTTTCAGTCAACTGTAAAATTATTTTTGAGTTTTTTCTAGTTTGAGAAGTTTAGTAACTGAACAAACTTTCAAAGAATCTATATAACTATTTGTAGCAATAACAAATCTATGAGTGGCTTTTTCCTAAAGCAATTTTTCTATGATACAAGCAGAGACTTACTTGACAGTGTAGAACTAAAACTGTTATTTCAAGCATTTTAACCTTTCTTGATTGCTTATGGGGCATCTCTAATGATTGGCCTGCTATATTCTGCTTGTTTTTTTATTTTTTTAATGAAACAAACTACTTCAACTTTTCAGATTGATGTGGATATTGGATCATCATCTGTAGCAAGGAGTGTCATCGGACTTGTCCTAGGATATGTCACGAGCATAGTGGTTGACCTTGCCATTTTGATAGAGGTTTGTGTCTTTATGATTGTTGCATTCTTGGGTACAGTTTTCCTTATATCAACTTTTGGTCTTCTTTTGGTGTGAACGTGTTCTGAACTTGTTGAAGAGAGCTAAGTATTGGTCATATACAATTTGTACTTTCACCCATAGACATGCATGTGTGTCTGTGTGGAGAGAGAGAGAGAGAGAGAGAGAGAGAGAGAGGTATATCCAATAGGGAGAAGGATGGATAAAGAGAGCTTCTAGTAACATTGCAAAAATATATCATAAAAAACAGAGCATAGCAAAAATATTGATGTAACCTGGTTGCATGTGATAAACACATACTTTGCTTGCAGGCAAAAGAGGAGGCGGAGTTGCCCGAGTACATTCTTGGGACTGTTCGACTAAATCGTTTGAAGCTCGACTCTGCTGTCCGTTTGGAGGTTTGATGTTGTATCAACATTCTTTAGTCATTTTTACGACCTTTGTCATGAGCTATTGCTTCAACGGGGTTGTTTTCTTTTTCCTCATTTTTTTGTAAGAGTCACCGGGATTTTGGTCTACTGTAGAATGAAACAATAATTGACTGTTATCACATGAAATATGAAGTAATACAAAGATGGAAGACCATTTCTTCCACTTGTTTTCTTTATCCAAATTCCGTCTGCAGTTTCAACTTTCAAGGACCAAACTTGAGTTCATACTCTGTCAGTATATAGGCTGTTATACTTGATTTCTTCCATTTCATTTTGATGCATACAAAACTGGTCTTGCAGAAGATGTACTTAACAAAATGATATTTCAATTATTCCCAAATATGCTGTACGTATAATATAAGATTCTAAGCTTTGTGTGCTAAAAGATGCAGTGAAAAAAAAATAGAGGCGCAAACAAGTAAATTGCAACCATGTATATATATAGGCTGAAAACACATACATCAAAACTCCTCTCCCTTAGCTTTCTGGAAAGTGTTATTGTCAGAGAGTTTATTATTGTTACGGAACGTTACTTTTGGTGATTGAGAGTCGTATATGTGAAGGTTATACAATTACTCTGGCATTCCCTTGTCTATTTTTTTTCACGAAATCCTGAATGATGTTAAATCTAAGTAGGGGGATTATGCTGATGGTGTTGATGTAACGCTTAAGACAGGTTTAAGGGTTATTACTAACAATCAAAAGCACAAGTGAAAACTACTATAATTGAAAGATGGATGAGTGTTATAGAGTTAGATCATGGAGGGATGAAGAGGGCCCCTTTCTTCAATCACTTTATTAACTCCACCCACTCTATCTTTGCTTTTCTTTTCTTTTATGTATTATACAATACTTTATGCATGATTGATTGATTGATGCCTTTTTTTTTAGCAAAATGGCAAAATGTTAATCCCATTTTGCTTATTAGTTTCTGCACCACTAATATTTTGACTAAATGTTTCCCCTATTTTAATCTCTAAATTAACAAAAAAAACCTTTCTTGTAATGGGATAATATTATTTTGCTATTTTCAGTCAATAATGCAATGACATGTGAAAAAGTTATCCAGTGTGTCATTGCGCTATTAACTGAAAATAGCAAAAAATACTATCCTTGTTGCACGAAAGTCTCCCTCCCTAAATTAGACCCAACTAACTTCATGTACACCATATCTCATTTCAAAGCAAGGTGGTCAGTGGGAATCTTGCCCCACATATGAAGAATGGGGTAAAACAGAATTTCTGAGAAAATCTAGGTTTAATAAATTTTTAATTGTACTTCATGTATACGATTGGATGAAGGGAGGTATCAGATCAAATATAATAAGCTCCTACACTTTTTGACTCTAATGGGAATCCAATTCGGGTAAATTACTTTCCAAAATAAAAAGATGTGATGTTCTCAGCACACGGACAAACGCAAATCCAATTCAAATCAAAGCAGAGGTTGAAACTTGAAATAGTGAAGTTTGCTCTTCAATTTCAAACCTACCCTGTCGGGTGGAAACTTCTTCGGCTAGTTTTTTTTGTTTTTGTTTTTTTATCAACATTCAACACCAGTGCATCATCTTCTGGGCTAAAACACGAGATACCATGTTTTGATCACTCATTTATACCATCACTTTTACTTGGGCCAAAAAGAACCATAGATTCTTAAAGGACGGTTGTTGCCACTTTTATCACAGAGCCACCACTAGCAAGCGGCAAAGTGAAATAGGAACATGACAAAATGTGCAATGTCTTGCAGCAGAGCAGATGCAGTACTTAAAAAAGTGCAAGTGTTTATACATGGCATTATATGGCATAGCAGCAGGTTTACATTTAAGAGAGTCACGAGATTTCGTGAGGGAATTAATTGTCAGGGTAGCTCTGTGTGTGAAGTTAGTGAACCATTGCTTGCTTGCAGGCCCCTCTGGTCTCGTGAGCCGTGATAATGGTAAACCCAAAACTTGAATTACCAATTGGCACTGTTTCCTTTGAATCAACAGAGATTTGCATGACATGTATGTTTGTACTTTGTGTATGTATGGCCCTAGATTTTTCCATTTTTTATTAAACCAAAATAAGTGCTTCTGTTTCTGTACTCATGATAATAATAAGACAGGCTTTTCTGGTCCTTTATACACTTTTAATACATTAATTCTAAAAACTCTAATGCTTTTTAGCAGTCTTACTTTCCTCTATTTGCTTTTCTTCTGGGCATCACACGTTTTAACCTAAAAGTAGATGTTGACCCATTTCATCACAAAGCCGCCCATGCATAGTTTTTTTCCACCCATAAGGATGTACACGTACATGATGCGTGCTTAAGGAAACCTATCTCAATTTTACCTCCATCATGATCCAACAACAAAGATCTGGTTTTGTTTGAAGGGTTTCAATACCCCTAAGCTAACTAATCCATCCCTACATACTTAACAAAGGCAAAATGATTCCACTGTAATATAACCTCCTGGGAGGCCACTGCCATAGAGGCCACAGCTTTACTTACTGCTCAATAAAATCGTTCAATTTTAGAAAACATATAGCAAAAATGTTATGAACAAAAAGGTTCAAGAAAACACGCACGCATGCACTCACCCACACGAACTCTCATCCCTGGAATTCACTGTTAAGGTCAAGATTCAAGAATGGGCGAAACGCTTTTGTGAATGTCCTTCCCTCAAGGAACACAAAAGGCTCTGCTCATCATAAATCAAGAAAAAGGTGACTTCTTTTATTGAACAGCAACCTTGTCTTTACTCCTTTACCTTCCCTTTCCCCCTGCACTCACTGCTCCTCAGCACCTGCCACTGTCATTTCAAATATCCTCAATCATATTTATCAATTCTTGTACTTATTACAATCTCATTAACAACAAGTTATTACCTTGAAGCTGATTTGGCTGCATATAAATTCTTTTTTTTTTTTTTTAGCTTTGAAATTGTGTCCCTCCCTAATGTATGTATTGTTCATATTTTTCTCAAAGCTTAGAAATTATTTATTGTGCCCACTTAGAAAAACTTACTTGTAACCGAGATAACATTATTTTGTTATATCCGGCCAATAACATAATGATATGTGAAAAAGATATCCAGCATGTCATTGTGTTAAAGTGATATCCTTGCATGAGAGTGTTTCTTGTGCTCACCCTTGTGCTGATGTGCACCATGAACACTGTAGGTGACAGCCATTATTGCAAGGAAACAGCAAAAGGTAATAAACATGCATTATGGACCATCATTACTGAGAAGATTATCTTATAAGAATCACAATCAAAGAACAGTTGATAGTCTTAAAATAATAAATTAAACAATTAATCACGTATTATGATTTATCTGTCGTTCGAATTAACTAATGAATCATCTCCTCAAGTTGCACTAGGAACCTTTTTTGAGTGAAACTTTGTACCTGAACATCACGAAGGTGGTGGTTACTTATTAGGCCTAAACAGAGTAGTCTTTTAATAATTACCAAAGAATACATATCTTGTTATAATATAATAGTGAGGATGAGGAGCAATTTGCTTGAAGAAGCCATCCAGCCGAAAGAGACTGTACACACACAATACACCTTTACTATTTTCGATACATATATTGATTGATCCTCTCTTCCTGTGAACTTATGTCCCACGGTGCGCAAATACCAATTCAGAATTCAAGTCACTGCTCTCTGCTCTCTGCTCTCTGCTCTCTTATTGGATTCTTTCCAGTGGGAAAAAGAGATTCCCTGCCTTCCTGTGAGATGAAAGCTTTATTCTTAATGGCCAACACCATCCAAATAAACCCAAAGCAAATAGAGGTCCCCTTTTGCTCCCAAAAGCAAACCCAATATACAATTTAATTATTATATTCTCATTTCAACTAATCAAAAGTATATCAGCCAGTCACCATTCCCTTTCTTTGTTGAGCCCACCTCCTTTCGCTAGTTCCCATGCATCTCTCGCTAAAGTCTCACCAAAACAAACGGATACCTTATAATAATCTGACACATTTTTCTTTCTTTGGGTCTCTAAAATTGTCCCTCTCTCATCTCCACTGCGAGTTCCGATGGAGATTTTTCATTGCTTCTTCTACTTAAATCTTCTGCTTGTCCCTTTGATGTTCTTTGTGGCGGTTTCAGCAGCTGATCTCTACTCAGACACCCTTCTGAGCTTAAAATCTGAGCTTGTAGATGACCATGGTAGTTTGGAAGACTGGTTTGTGCCTTCCGGAAATAACCCATCTGGGAAAATCTACGCATGTTCTTGGTCTGGTGTCAAATGTAACAAGAACTCCACTGTTACTGGTTTAGACCTGTCAATGAAGATGCTTGGTGGTGCAATTTCTGGAAAGCAATTTAACGTCTTCACTGAGCTTGTTGATCTCAACCTCAGTTACAACTCATTCTCTGGCCAGCTCCCTGTGGGAATTTTCAACCTCACCAGTCTGAGAAGCTTGGACATTAGCAGAAACAACTTTTCTGGTCACTTTCCTGGTGGAGTCTCGGGTCTTGGAAACTTGGTTGTGCTTGATGCCTTTAGCAACAGCTTTTCAGGGTCATTGCCTACTGAGGTTTCACAGATTCCACATCTCAAGGTCCTCAATTTAGCTGGAAGTTATTTCAAGGGACCAATCCCATCAGAATATGGTTCTTTCAAGAGCCTGGAGTTTCTTCATCTTGCAGGGAATATGATCAGTGGAAGCATACCGCCAGAACTGGGCAAGCTCAAAACAGTTACCCATGTGGAGATTGGCTACAATTTTTATCAGGGAAGCATCCCGTCGCAATTGGGCAACATGAGTGAGCTTCAGTATCTTGATATTGCTTATGCAAACCTCTCCGGCTCAATACCAAGGGAACTTGGCAATCTCACCAAGCTTGAGTCACTTTTTCTCTTCAGAAACCAGCTCAGTGGTTTGCTACCAGGGGAATTTAGCAAAATCGGGCCTCTCACAAGCTTGGATCTTTCTGATAATCTGCTTTCTGGGCCTATCCCCGAGAGCCTTTTAGAGTTGAAGAGCCTTAGACTGCTCAGTCTTTTTTACAATGACATGAGTGGCACAGTTCCTGAAGGAATTGCAGAGCTTCCGTCACTAGAGACTCTTCTTATATGGAACAATTTCTTCACTGGGAACCTTCCACAGAGCTTGGGCAGGAACTCAAACCTCAAGTGGGTGGATGTCTCTACAAACAACTTCAATGGCAGCATTCCACCAGATATC